TAAACATGCATATTACATTATTCGGTCGTTATTTTTGATACCTTGAGTTACATTATAACAACTTTCGTGGGATTCTCTAATTTTGTTGAAAATAAAACACAGCCCATGTGACTCACTGATAATGTAACTTATTATATGCGATAGAAGTTTTAAAATCGGTCGAGTAGTTTTTAAACTTATCCATAACAAACAAACATACAAACAAATCTTTTCTCTTTATAATATTCGCTAAGATTACTTTGGCTGTATATCCTATACCTTCTGAATTTTTCACACATGAGCAATAACCTGCTCGTGACGTGAAATATGTCCGGGATTTTTTACCTTTGGTGTTTTGGGATAATTCTGTGGACACCACGCAGAATGACAGTGATGTCAATAGAGTTTAATGTTTTGCGCGACCTATTGTATTTTTTTATATTACATTGACGATTTAGTGACACGCATTATTGTGGTTAAGAATAAATTAGTCTGCAGACAAACGGCATGATATAAGTGTATGCGATTTTTCTTCTTAATAAAATCGAACTCACCTATTTACGGATAGGTATTCAAATATCATCGACGTGAACGCATGAAGGTATTTGTAAACTATTCACGTCGGTTAGCGATTGTTGAAAAATACGTACCAAAATGGTTTTACGCGAGAATTCCTTTAGTAAAAAAAGCACTTGCAAAAATAATTTAACCTCATTGAATCCCTTTTCGATTTCTATTTGTCTTCCTGTAGTTCAGCGTGCCGTGCCCACTGAAAATTAGATAATTCCGCTGTCAGAGTGCGATTTTATTGAAGTACAGCAGAAATCCAGTTTTAACATTAAACACTCTAAACAAAATTTACCTACGTATCTTATTTTATATAGTTTTAGATTCTGAGTGGAGCGAAGAAGCCTATGATTGTACAAAGATGTTGTTTTATTTTACCTGTGCGTAACTTTTCTACCAGAAGCCTTGCTCAGATCTTTAAGTGTAGCACCTTTTCTGAAAGAGAATTGGTTTGGAGAGGCCCTCTTAGGAGATCAGTTTTCGATTTTCTCATATAATTAGAAAAAACGAAAGAAAAATAAAAAAAGGAGGAAAAACGGGAAAATATAAGAAATATAGGTATTAGTTAAAATATATTACGGTCTTTTTTTTATCTGTGCACAATTTTTCTACCAGTAATTTTGGTCCAACCTATAACGAAAGTAATGTTTCTTAAAGAAAATCCGACTGGGGAGGTACTTTAAACAGATAATTTTTAGATTTTCCCAAGAGTTTTCCAGGCAAATATAAATAACTGGGGAAAAACGTAGGGAAATTGGGAAATTGGGAAATATAAAATTTAATTAAACGATGTAATAATCATTTCCTATGTACAATGAATCATTTTACGAATCACACGTCTTTTGAAAACTTTTTCCTGTTATTTCCGCAAATTTTCGCAAACAATTTTTACGAATCTTGAAGTGTAAAAAGCTTGAAATGTATAATATAATTTGTGTGCATAGTGAAAAAGTGTGAAAATTGATAAATTTTAATAAGTTTGACTCTTTTATACTCGATGAATATTTCAAAAAAAAAAACAAAAGTTTTCCAAGTATTCTTTGAAAAAAATCAAACAAACATTCCTATACTTTGTTTTAAATAAAATTAATGTGTTGTAATAAAATCGTTGTAAATGCAGTTTTATAATTATCTGGATATTTAATCAAGTTTGTTCTAATATATTTAGTCATAAATGATTCAATATCATAAATCTTATTTGACATAATTTTAAAATTGAATTTAGACAAACTAAGTCACTATTCAGACCACCATGTGCTGCCTCGATTAGACTTGCGGCATAAGGTGGCGCTAGATCGTTCCACAATCCTTCTGGGCCACAATGGAAATCTAAGGGGTCCTCAAGCCGTGGATCAAGGCCGTTAAAGAACGCCTGAATTCCGTTTCTTTTCTATGCCCACTGTGGGTGCGCCCGAGTTTTCTTTCAGTTTAACAACTGTGAATCAAAGCACCCACGTATTTCAATGTATAATCCCAATTTGTTTGACACAGCATCGCTGTGCCCTCACTTTGACCGTCCTTTTCCTCGCTCTTCATGACCTATATCAGGGAAGCGTAAAATAGTTCGCTCTCCACCATTGCCATGAGGAACGCCCTTTTGCCTGATAGAGCCCCTCGATGTTCGGCCCGATAGTAACTGCCGCCTTTACCACCTTGTCGGCGGGCGCCGGCTACCATTTTAAGGTGGGCCCAAACGTTAAGCGTGTGTCCAAAACTACACCGAGGTTACCGGATGGAGCACTTGATCGGTACCGAGAAACCATCGCGCACCGGCCCGGAATACCGGTGTACTGTATGGCCACGTGTGGGTGAGCATAACGACCTCGGCTTATATAATGACTGTAGAGACTGATCGTATTTTATACCTAAAATCTATTGAAAGTCACCTTTTACTCCTGGCGTCATCTTTGAAACTATATATTATGCTGATTATTGTTGCGACTTAATTTCTAATCTGTATTGTATATAATGAAAAATAGAAATATTTTCATCTTTAAAAATTTCACTATGTTTGAACATTTATCACTAACAGTTAGCTTATTAAAAAATAGTATCAATAGTATAGTAGGATTGTTGTATAATTTTGAAAATATTACAGCGAATACCTAATAATATGATTTTCGTATAGTATTCAATAAATACTGTCTGAAAAACACCGAAATCAAATATAGACAAAACTGACCTTGTAGTAAACCTAAGACGTTTCTTGAGACACCGATTTTATTTATCACGTAAAAGAAAATACATACAAAAACCGATTTGATGCGATAACTTCCGGTACAATCACCTTTCTTCCCTCCCCTTTCAACTCACTCCTAAAACTGTATTACGTGTGAAAAATACACGGAAAACACTTGAACCGATTAAATTTGCATATATACGGGTCAGTCGTTCTCGTGCTACCCCCTACGGTTACCATATATTCACATTTAAATAATTTAAAACAAAAATCCTTCGAAAATTTAAGTACACCTACCTATGTATAAACAAGTCGCTTGTGTACTACAAGCAATACTCGGCGCACGTCCGAACGATTTGTCTCTCATTAATATTCGAAAATACTGGAAATTGGTCGCAGTCGGTAACCCGACTTTGACGATATCGATGTGCGTATAGGTAGATACGAGATGGCAATAAAACACACTCAATATTTAAAACGAATGGATTTTTCGGACGGGTCAACTCATCCCCGGAGGATACATATACCACCATTTTTCTGAATGTAATAATATCGTTATTCACGGTTCCCTCTGAAAATATCCCGTATAATGCAGAGGGGAAGGGCTTTATTTTTAGGCAAAATAAAAAATTTATTGTTAAGAATAGAATTTTTAGTGCGATTTGTCGATATATTTTTAGGTATGTTTAACAACTCTGGCCAATTTGTATTAAACGTTGAACGAAACTATAAAACATGTTAGGTAGCATTTATAAAAGTTGTAATATGGATATGTAAATTGACCATAGACAGAAAATATTTTAAGGTAGTTTAAGTACTACTTACTTAAAATACTATTAGTACAACATTAAAGTATTGTATTTAGGGGTTTAAAGTGTTTGAATGGTAAGAAAATGTTTAAATGTATAATGTAGTAAAATAGAAATAAAAATAAAAAGGGGGTTGTTCGGTAATATAAGAAGGTTATATGGATGGAGGGGTTATAGGTATACTGAGGCGTGTGGTGTTATAATATTATTCATACGTACGATGTATGAAGCGCGAGTTCGTTCATATCATCCTATCGATAGGGTGATCGACGGCAGTGTTACCACAATACGTAATCGACCGGATGTGACCCTGAATACTCGCGACGTAATATGTTGTAAGACTTTTATGGTGTATGTAAAAATGGTTTTATGTGTGTGGGTGGTCGTACGGAATTGTTTGCGATATATATGTGTATATTGTATATATTGTGTCGATATGAAGTTATTATTTCTTTATGCGTATTTATTCTAATTGCGTTAATATCCTATTACGAAAATATGATAAGTATCACTTACCTTAGTGATCTGCTTGAAGTTCACAAGAAGATCGTTGCTCAAAGGATAAAGATGATAAACGTAAACGTCTTTAAGTATGATGTTAAATTATTCAGCATATTCAATACCTCACGAATATACAGAAACCTGTTTGTCCTGACGGGCGATCACGAGCCGCGATGTGTTGAGCTCGTGTAATCAAACCAATCAGTGGCAATGTATTATGTATATTCATTTGTATGTTGAGAAAAAATAACTTAAACACGTTTGGACATAATATGATAAAATCAATGTGGCGATTAGTACAAATACCAGTGATAGGATGTAAAGGACAACACTGTTTAAAATATGTTATTTGTGATAGAACGGGTAATTGTACCTACTATATCAACTTATTGATCGTTTATTTTACAAATATTAAATATTTAATGAATTACAATACATTTATTATACATAAGTATGCGATATTCCGACCAATTGAAACCATGACAAAATAAACATAATGTTATTATAAATAATATGCTTTATCGGTTTTTGTTAGATATCACCCAAGGTTCATTTGTAAGTAATACCATATTTAGGTATGATTCTAACGTGTCCGTTAGCCAATCGATAAATACCGAAAAAAAAATATCGACTCTTTACTAGGAATGTCGGTCGTTTCGTCCATTATAATAGAAAATAACAAAAAACACTTTTAATTTCAGAAATTAATTTTAAATTTATATTTTGGGTCAATATAAATTAAAATGCAATTTTGAATGTCATGTGACAGTCTTATATCAATTGTTTCTTAATAACCAGTCATTTAATTTCTGGACATCATTTACACGCAACATGTAGTAGTTGATGATTATTTACCATTATGACATGATGTCCACGAATCATTGTTTAAATAAATATAAAATAGAGAAAACTATTTTGGAAAATTTTCATGCAGTGCAGTTGCATCATATGCTCGGCGCCCATGTCTACAATATATTGTTTTGGTCATCTACGACATCTTCGTAAACCGAATCATCTATATTATTGTCCTTCCTCTTATACTCTAAAACATTTTTATTTTGTATATATTAAATCAGCAATCATAAATTCGCCAAATTCTGGCAACTTGTTCTAAGATCAATTTAATCTAAGAATCAAAAAGTGCATATTTTTCAAACTACAAATATTTATTTATATTAATCATATTCAAATTATACGTTTAATCGCTATCTAACACAAAAATAACTAAAAAATATATTAAAAAAATCAATAGATTTCCTTTAATATAATATTATATCAATAATCTTGATAATCCTCTCTCACGTTTTTAACTTGATCTTAATCTTTCTACTCATTTGTATTGGCTTTTATCCTTTTATCGATAGCAACCTTAAATATGATACACAGAAGTATTTGAACAATTTTTATTAGAGAGGGGGGGGGGGTATTAATTACCTTATTCCATCAAAAATTGAATATTAAGGAAAACAATTTAATATACAAAAAAAGTTCTTGTGTTGAATTCAAATGTACTTGTTAACCCCTCGCTCAGCTTTACTCAGTAGTAAATACTACTGATGTGCAGTAAAAATGTTATAAAAATAGATTCCGACCAAATGTATAAATAAGCTAAATCTGAACAATTTCTGGTTTTTTAATTACCTTTAATGCTTTCAGGTTTTTTAACAATAGATTGCATACTGTGTTTTCGTGTACTCGCAATTCGTTGAGAAAACCCGTAAAAATAAACTTGTGATCCCTCCGGTTCCGGTACATTTGGTTCCTTTACTAAAATGCTATCTGTAATTTAATGGTTAACAATTATCAATAATAACTTAGTTGATATAAAATAGCTGGTACTATAATAAGTTAATAATTATTATTCAAAGTGTTTGCGTGCTATTAAACGGGATTTATTATAATTTAAAATTGGTTACCGCAAAATTTTTCAAATTAATTTTTACCAACTCAATAATACTGTAAGGTAACCTAACTATTAGGTAAAAACTTAAACAATATATTTTTGACAATTTTGTCTATAATTATAATTTATACATAGGTACAACCCACCTGATCATACCACCCAAATTATATTTAATTCTATATGATAAAATTGTAACCAAAATAATTTTCAAATCTTTAATATTAATAACTTAGTACTTTAGTAATGTACCTAATAGTATAATCATTTTACGAGAATGTTATTAAGGCACACTTCTGAACATTATATTAATATGTTTTTACATTTACATTAACTTTCTTTGAAACCGATGGTGGAGGACGAATATGGTAAAGCTATCTATTTTATTTCGAAATCTCACCTATTGAAATAAGCTTAAAATATCTTCTGTATCATTAATATAAAATTAAGTGTACAATCTTAAACAACCATTATTTTGTTACCATTTGTAGTATGCTTGCATTTTTTTTTTTTTTTTTTAATCAATAATACAATTTTAGTCTGAAAATTAAATTATTTACCGATGGCCGCTTTCAATCTGGAATTCGATATTTTGGTTACACTTGGTGACGCCCAGATTGAATTTTCGTCAACCAAGATTTTCATAATTTCGGATGTTGCTCGGGAATTTTCTAAGGTGGATGTCTCCGACTCATCCAAACTAGACTCATTTGTGATCGGTTCATTTATTATTTCTTCAAATTCTATAACGGATCACATAAAATATTTTTATCTGGTTAGTATTGAATAGAAAACGAAAATTCCCGGAATTCCGGAAATTTGTTCTGAGATTAATTAAGAAACTATACTATACAATTCTATTTTTAAATCACACTCAGTTATTTATATTAATCAGAAAAAATATGAAAACTATTAAATGTTTTTCAAGTACAATAAATTTCAATAATGTATATAATATATTATTATTGATTATATTATAATTACTATTGGCAATACAGAATTATTTAAAATGTTTAAATTATTATTTTTACAAACATTATTTAATAAACGTGCTACGCTCTCACACGAGCAAAATATTTTAAATAATATTAAAAATTCAAGTTACAAAATTACTACCCATAAGTAAAGCCGGGTATTAATAAAAATAGTATATTTGTCACAATAAAGTTTACAGCTATAGTTAGTTTATAATCATTATGATATTCATTATGCATGATGGGATAGGAGATAAAATATTTGATGTTATATTTACATTTTAAATTTTTTTCCCCGCCCCATATTCTGATGCTATAGTTGGATTGAGCCCATACATCACATCCACACCGTGTTTACGGGACGACAAGTAAATAGATACATTTTAAACTTACTTGGTAGCTCTTTAGCAGCGGACTTCTTTCTAAACGTTATTCCGGGAGTTGAAATCAATGACGGTGATCTTTGTTCTGTTTTCAAATTGTTCGTTACGCCACATTCGAATACACACAGACCGAACAGCAAAACGAACGGACACAATGAAGATAAAATCGAAATATTTAATTTATTCAAAGGCCATAAACTAAAATAATATTGGTTAAAACTTACGTGGATGCGTTTCGGTGTCATTTAAAGCGTTTTTAAATCTCTTGGGACAACCAGAAAACGATAATTTCCTTTTTACTGTTTTTAAATCGTTTGTTATGTTCAAATCCGAAAGGGCGCCGAACCGAGCAGCAAAATGAACGAACATAAGAGTGTACAAATTAATATATAAAATAGCTATCTTGAATTATATAATACAAAAAATGAATGAAAAATCTAAATTTGTTAATTTTTGTTATAAAGTAATAAAATGAAATATAAAATATAACAATGATAGCGCAGTGTTCTAATAATTATTACAAATAAAAAAAAATAACAAGAATATCTAAAAAAAAATGATAACGTTTTGTTAAATATATAGTCCGATTATTGGAATAAAACCGTAGATATACACAAAACTTATGTAGAATATACGAGTAGATAGTGTTAAATTATATTACAGTTAAACAACTTACTGTGAAGTAAAAAAAAAAAATGAATTTTTAAATTACTATATTTCATATATAATATCGTAATATCTCACTAAGAAAATAAATTATTGAGAAAAAATATCGATGTTTAGACACACGGATAATGTCCGTGACTTCAAGTTTGACGGTGTATTCTACATACGATACGTTTGAAAGACGGAGGCGGAGCGATACACCACACTCATATGCAGGAAAGCATAATATGCGTTCTCTTAAATGTTTTATATTGATAACATAATAAATAAAAATACTTACGATGACGGTCCATCTCAAGGTAATAAATGTTAATTGAAAAAAAAAAAAAAATAATGAATAGGAAAATGTTCTAAACAAGAAAAATAATAAATGAAAAATGTCTGTAGAACAGTAAAAACTATAAGTATGAGAAAAATATTAGTAATGCTAAGTACAAAAAGTACAAAAAATGAACGAACAATTGCGTAGATATTTATCGATCTGAAAAGCGGAAAATAACTTTTTTAATATGCTCGCGATTTGTATGGAACGTACAATGAACGATTTTAAGATTGTCAAATCGGTGTAAACAAATTTTCCGCGTTAAGTTCCCGTAACGACCGAATAAATATTGTTATTGTAAATATCGAATGTTTGTTTGGCGTGCCATAATAATAATTTACGATTTGTATGTAGGTATACGTACAATGATTGACCGTTTTACCTATACTGGACTTTTTCGGAATTAAAATGGGAAATCGATAAAATTCCTCTATCTTATAGGATAATAAACGGTATAGAACGAACGATTCATATTCTGAGTTTATTATTATTTTGTTTTAACTCTATCCGGACAAATCATTAGGTACCTATAGTCGAACTGCAGTTCGGTCCAACACGAGTAATGGCTGTACTTCACTCGGGTCAAGAAAGGCGTTTAAACAAAAAATGTTCGAGAAATTTTAAATTGATTCAAAAGTTTTATAAACGCTCATTTTCCTTCCTACTGGAATTTAATGACGGTTAAATAAGACCGTGAACAGTGTAACGATGTATACAATATGGTATATATCATAACATAATATTATATGACATTAATATTGTCTACACTACATTTTATTATAGTGGACACCACTTTATTTTATTAGTTTATAAGTCAATTTGGATTAATACAAATAGTATGTATTACAGTTAAATATCTCATATAATAATAAAACACGATAATGAGAACCGGACAACGCCACTCCACTATCTTCCCCTTTCTCTCCCACAAGAGACTCCTCCATTCATTCGGCCACCGGATCCTGCGTTGCGACTCGTCATCTTTTTCGTCTTCCCGCGAGTGCGTGTTGTTCCGGTTTCCAGCATTCCGATATCATCATTTTTAATTTAATCAAGTGTTTATTTTGTCATTCCTACTACTTATTTTCATCAACATAACAAATAAATATAATTATACCTGTATTCAAACTCAACCTTGTTGCTGAGGATATTCCGTTCAGGATAGATAAGTATATTATTGTTACCCTTCATAGTGTATATCTTATAATAATTGTTTCTTACCGTCTTAGGCCGTAATAAGTAATCTAAGTGATTAGTGGGTATCCTAACCAAAACTCCGCCACTAAATGCATTTATCCCCGTTATATAGTAATTCCATTTTTTTTAAATAAATACTTAAGTACTTATGTTGGCAATAGTTTTATTACATATTAGTCTATCATATTATTATTTTCTGTGAGAACATGCAATTTGTGCATGAAAATGATTGGGGAGAGGATTCAATGTTACAACTCCCAAAGGCACATTCTTGATATTTACTTCATGCATAATATACACAAAATTAAAGTCCTTAGACATGTCACAAGGAGAGAGGAATTTGAATCAGTAAGAACTGTAATGAAAATAAACGTAGGAAAAATGAGAAAAACCGAAATAGAGGTGGTTGGGTTTAATTAAGAATTTTATGTGGACCACTATGGTTAGCCACTGTATGAGAGGTGAACGATCGGGTCAAATAGACGTTTAGGACGACGGACTTCAAATAATTGGAACGAAGACGAAGGACATGAAGTAGAATGATTTATCTTTGTTTTCAGTATTTATTTTTTATTTATTTCAACTCAACAAAGATAACAAGATTTTAACGTGAGTACGATATAATACATGAGTTGATTACCTCCTTCTTTAAACAAGTTTGTGGTGAGAAGGGGGGTCTCCAAACATATAATGTAATATATGTAAAAATAAAAACAAAAACAAACTTAATTAACACTACAAAAAACCAGTAGATAACAACATGATGGAAAAACATTACAATTAATTAGAATATTAACAAATAAAAACGTTTCTGGTAATAGTTAACAATTGAGTTTTAGAAATATAATTTTTTTAAACTTACACTTAAATAGTTTTTTATCGATAATTAATTGAGCTTCTATAGGAAGTGTATTAAATATTAATATAGCTCTATAATTCTGATAAGCAGTAATATTGTATTTAGGGATCTCGAGACATCCTTCTTTTCTTCTTACAGACATTTTAATTAAGCTCATAACTCGTATACTTACCATATTATACTAAATTACCGTTTATCCCATTTACCGTCTCGAATACCCACCTATAACAATTGTCATTACCCGCGGTGCAAAGTATGTAGGCTTCAAAATAATAATAATGATAATAATAATAAGATATTATGATAGAGTATGGAAAATTTCGAATATCTCGAACTCTGCAGATATTTGAGGGTGATGCGCATCTTATGTCATTGTTACAATGTATATAATGTTTAGATTTCAGTTAAATACAGCAATTGTTATTATCAGCATCTCGTCATATATAATATTTCTAAAATAAATATCCTTTTGAAAAAATAACGATATTCAGAACGGCGGCGGTCGAGTCGTCAAGGACAGCTGCACAGTGCAGATAATAATATGTGATTAAGGGCGAGACGACAAAAAGTGTAATTTTCTCATTTCGTTTTTTTTTTTTTTTTTTTTGTTAACTATTATACAAAAAACAAAATTATGGCCATACACAAGTTATTTATATTATGCGTTGTTGTTGTTATTGGCTAGTGAAATATATACCACATTACAGATTTTATACATTATTAAACGGTCTCGGGTGCAGCATAATATAAAATAATAATTGGGCTTTGTATGACTTTCGACATGGGAATAACACGCTGATTATAATATTATTGTTGTTACAAAAGTCAACACGCAAACAATACGAATGAAATTGAAATGTTATAAAACTATTTTGATTTTTTAAACATTGTGGTGAAAAATGGATAGTCCCAGGGAAATTTGTTCAGTCTATGTATTATGTACTTAGTACCTACTTACCGACAGTTCGATTAATTTTTTGAGTACACCCGAGTAGATATAATATGATGTGGCGTGGAAGTATATTTATATGATTAACGATCCACTTTCTAGTTTTTTTATTGATAAAATACAATATTTTTTTCCACGTGAATTATTGTCCCGCGCGAGATAAAAAATCTCGTAACTAATGGATGATAAAAAAAAAAAAAAAAAATCATTAACTAAAAATATATGGGAATTTATATGTGATCGATCACTTTCTCACGTGTACGGGTAATATATATATATATATATATATTATATCCATCTCAAACTATAATCGAAATAATTATATTAGTACCCATATATTTTATAGGATCGTTGAACTTCCGAAAACCTCGTGTGAATTTTATCAAATATTACTCGTTTACTGAAAAAAAAACAACAATACCAATAGAACATTCAGAAATAGTCGAAAACGCAAAAACAAAATCCCTATATTTTTTTAGACGTATATACGTACGTATAATATAATTAAAACTTACTTATAGTATTCAATGAGTTCTCCCAAAGAAAACCTGAAATATTTTTTTGAACAACGCGCGCGACACATTAATTATTATCATTATTATTTTTTAATTAAAAACATATTTATAGAACGGGCCACCCGGTACGTACCGACGCTTAATTAATATACGTTATATTTATATATTTTAACACAAAATAAGTCATTATATTTTCGACTAAATAATTATGTTTTGTTAACAATAATTGTATTATTGTTATAATGTGTTACACACGGCATAACGGCGGAAATGAATCGGTAGAATCAAAAACGGATATAATAATAATGATTCATTGTTCGCGTAGAACGATCGGTATTATTATGAGTAAATACCAAATTTAAATAATATAAAAATAATTGACAGGAGTTTAGAAATTATAGAAATAATTAAATTATTTGGAGTACATTTTATATTTCGGGTATAATCATCACTACACCTAAGAATGTTATCACGATTTAAGATAATATTTGACAGTTTGGAAATCGGTCCAGATAATCACAGTACGGAAACATCACTAGTAAACTTTTAAAATCAAAAGTTAATAGGTACTCATTCTAGATAATATTTGTCATTTGATTTGACACTAAGATACCTATTAACGAGTAGCAGTCAACATGTTTAAAACGGCTTTAAAATTTAATGTTCTATAATGATTGACAAAAAAATAAATAAATAAATAGAAATCGAATTTACTAAATCTGAAAAAATCACTGCATACGCATACGTTAAAAAAAAAAAAAAACGCCCTGTACAAGACGTGGTGGAAAGACGCTCGTGACGTTAATAAAATGCTGGAGATATATTTTACAACGCGTACGATCGCCACCGCCGAAATAGTGA